ATTTGTATTCTTGTAGATATAGTCATCTGATCATTGCATGTCCTCTTCCAAGCACTGGGAATCCTGTCCAACTTTTCTAGCGCTGAATTGGACAGCCAAATATTTTGGGACCTTTTTTGCTCCCCAGAAGTAGTTGTCTAAATAGTCCTGAGGTTTTGAGATATCAGAGGCAGGGGAGGGCTGTTCTGGGAAAGAAGCAGTTCAGCACATTTGCCACATGTGCCAGAAGATCAATGGGGAATAATAATGATAAAATGGCATTTACGGAGTTGATACTGCAACAGAAAGTTCCCAATCCCTTACTTAAATTGTCTCCAGCAAGACCCACATTTGTGTCTGCTTATGCACACGCACCTCTACTCTCTACTTTGTGGGAGCTCCTTGGTGGTTTCTGGCTCTCTCCCATCACCTGGGGCCACCTCTGTCATGGTCAGCCTGTGGGTACACGCATGACCCCAGCATGCACCAGCTTCCAGTCACCAGAGACTACCCCCACTGCAGCAGAGCAGAGCCCAGATGTAAACTACCATATATGCAGGACAGATGATGAGGGAGCATGGAGCTTTCTATCTGAGCAGCATACGTGCACCCATTGTCTCTCACCATCTGCTATATGAAAGAAAAACCTATGCACATATAGCCACACTGAATTTGCAAGAGTAATTTTCAATCGTTTGCATAACTGTAATCCATTTTTTCCTAAAAACACACACTAATAGGAATGACTTATAGTCCCGGTTTAGCATGCTACTAAACTACTGCTGTCTTTGCTTTACCTCTGGAGGAACAAGATAACCTTCCTGAGCTTCCTTTGTAAAATGCAAAATATTTCAGCCAAAAACATCAAGCTCTGACATTCACATATGTAATGCTAGTGCCTAAATTAAAGTATGTATGTTTGAAATTTGTATCCTTCAAGGACAATCTGTGTAGAAGAGATAAACATTATAAAATGTAGACAGCTAAATAATGAAGTAAGGATTCTGGAATTTAATATAATGATAACTCAAGCACTGAGCTGTACGTGTTTAGGTTTTGGAGTTTTCTCTTTCGTTTTTCAAATTGTATTATAAGAATTATGGTTCCTTTAATAAAAAAAAAAAAAAAAAAAAGGTATTTGCTATGATGAATAGTAGTTCCTTAAATATTTTTAGTACGAGACATGTAAGTCACTCAATAAATGAAAAAGTTTGTTTAGAAAAAACTACTCAACTATAGCGAATGTCCAAAATCATTCTCCATCTGCAGAACCATAAAAGGGCTCAAAACAGAAGCAGAACATTTTACAACAGCTGGTCTCTTTCAACTTCCTGTAATTTTTATAGCTACTTTTTGGTGAATTTTTTTTTAGTACACCGCAGCAGGAGTCTTCTAGAAACAGGCAGACCATGACTTCACTTGTGCAATTCCACAAAGCAGAGGTGGATCACTGTTCTCCAGAACCACCACCAAGCAGACACATGCAGGGTCAAGTTATGTACTCTCACACCAGCACTGAAAACTTATCAAATATGGCCCTGATCCAGCAAAGCACTTAAGCACATGCTTTACTTTAAACATGTAAGTAATCCTATTAGAGTAAATGAGATTCAGCATAAACCACTGGACTGAATCTCAGAATACCTTGGTCGTGGCCCTGATTATGTCAGTGACTGACTGTGTAACCTTGGACAAATCACCATATTTCTGTGTCTTTATTTCCTTTTTTGTTCTTTACCTGTGTTTACCATGCTGCACACCATCTCAACAAAAATAATCCAAAGCTGGAATCTTCTAGAAACTACCATACTACAGCTAATGGCAGGGATATTTATGTACATCAGTTCGTTTTCATATCCTCAAAACCAATGCTCCCTCTCCCCCCCAAAAAAAAAAAAAAAACAACAAGATGACATCCCTTACCCTCAGGTCTACTTATCCAGTATTGACAACCAGTTTCAAAAGCACGACACTGCTCTTAGCAAGCAGTTGTGGAGAAGGAATCCACCTGAAGGGTCCCTGCAGGCAGGGCCAGGCCAGCTCCCAAGCACGTGTGGCCACCAGCCCCCCACTCACAGGGCCGCAGCCCGAGACCCCGAGTCTGGCCTGGGGATCCAGGGGCCAGCCTGCCACACTCCTGCCAGCGCCGTACCTGCAACAGGGAAAAAACTGGGCAGCCCCGGGGAAAAGCTGTTTAACGCGCGCAGGTGGAAGGCAGCATTCTCACAGGGTGAAATGTATTTACACTAAAAGGCTTTATGGTCAACACTGTTAGAAACTGCAACACAAGACACAGTTTTCCACAGGTAGGCCATATGCCGTTGACTGTCTTAATGATCCCGAGAATATTTTCACAGAAATAATTCTGCTTTTGCACGTGTATACAGCCACGCAGCATGTTTACTCTTGCCATCACACTTCCTGCTTCCCGGCGGTTGTGACAAGTAATGTCACTGTCACAAGGAGAATACGGATTCAGCTCCTAACAATGAAGCAGGCACGGATGAGTGGGCAGGATACTCAAATGAGTTTCAGAAGGACTTGAGGTGAAATACTGTCCCCAGTGAAATCAATAACAGTTCTCCCATTTACTTCAGCGGGGTAAATATTTCAACTCTTTTTTTCTATGCCTTCTGGTCATCTCACTGCCTAACAGAGTAATCATTTATTTTCCTTTGGAACACAGGGAAAAGGACAGAATGGATGGAAAGCAAGGGAGGGAGGGATGATTTCAAAATAAGTGTACTCTTTCTTCAGAATATCTAAAAAAAACCCCACAATCATAATGATTTTTATAGTTACAGATTATAAACAATGCAGAAAAGGAGATTAGATTAACATAGCTAAAATCTTCCTTTCTAGGAACTCATTCACAAATTCCTCTTCTGTCCTTGAAACACCTGTACACCACGTTGCTGCCTTCCCAGCTGAGCCAAAGACGAGCTCACAGCAACAGCAACACAGTTCCGCGTGTGTCGGTCTGCTCAGGATCAGGCCTTTTGCATACAAAGATATCTATTATAACACACAGGCATCATGAGCTGTACTCTGTTAATTAAAATATTTTCTGCTGCAGATTGGAAGCCTGGCCTACAAGATACTTGCCAAAATTATGTTCAGGAGCACAGCAACTGAAATGCATTTTTGAATAGGTCAGAAGTTAGTTACTTTTGACTTTTTCTGAATGCGTGCTCTGTTCTCATTGTATGATGAAGGGAAATACAGTCAAAAGGTTATATATAACTGGGCATTTACAGCAAGTTAATGGACACAATAAACTGCTGGTTTTCAGAAGAAATTAAAGATTTTGGCCATTAAAAAAAAAAAAAAAAAAGAGAGAACCCAGAATAACCTGTAACAGAGCCTGAAAGAACGCATACCATGCATAACACACTAAAGTCCCTGAATAAGTGAAATTTAGAGTAAGCATGCCGTTTGGCAGTAAGCATTGCAACTTTCCAAAATTAGTTGGCGTGTCACACAACAGCGAACATTTACTACGCCTTTCAGAGCTCCTGAAGTCCTTAGCCGCCTTCAAAGTTCAGGTTGACATTTCATCTTTAATTCATGCTCCCGTGTCTTTCTATATGAAGTACTAACAAAGCAGCGTGCCGAGCGCCGGGGCACGGGGAGCATGCGCCGGGCAGGGCTGGGCACGCTCCGCAGCGCCAGCATCGCTGCCCGCCGGCGAGGCACGCAGCCGCCCCGCCGGGACCGACAAACTTGAGCATCCCAGCAGCCGGGACGGAGATTATCCTAAAGAGCAACAGAGAAGTACGCTCATGACATCTCTTTAGAGGCAGTTTCTCTGGGAGAAAGTTTTCTTCAGCTACTGAGTCTCTTCACTCAAGCCCGCGTTATTTCTCTCTCTGCAAGTGATCTTTGCATCTCATCAAACTTCATCTACTCATTTGGAAAGGATTCTAAAACCTCAGGTTTTAACATCAGCTTAGACTTTGTGCAGCACCCTTCTTTTCCCCAGCATCTCACACAGTGCCTCACAAAAGGCCCCAGAGGTTGGACAAACATAGCACCAGGAAAAACACAGTGTGAAAGGGATCTTTATGTGCATGTGTGAGGGCCCAGTGCTAATAGCTCAATGTGCTATTGACACATCACAGTGCAAACAGCTAAGTCTTTTTCAAAATAGCGTGAGTCACAGTGTCATTCTTAACTTTGCCTTTCCCAGATTTGGGTACTTTGTGAAACAAATCATCCCCGTGTTATTAAAACCTATTTCTGTAAACGAAGGTAGCCCCTGGGAAATGACTATTGCTTCTGACCGTAACGTTTACTCCGTAAACTACACACGCCGCAGAGAAGGTGCGAAGAGATAGAAGTGGTACTGCAACTTCTCTGACAATCCTCGTCAAATCAAAACGTTTGTTATCTTCCCGTGCTAGCAGCTGATGTACTTTTAGATAATCCTCCCGTTTGGCACGTTCCTTTAGTGAGAGACTGGCCACGCCAGAGCCGGAATCATCCGAAGGAGCCGAGCGGAGCGGAGCGGAGCGGGGGGAGCCGTCCCTTCCCCTCCCTCGCAGGGACGCCCGCGCTCCCGCGGGCTCTGCGCGGGCGGCCGCGGCCCAGGGAGCGGCGGGGCGGGCCGGGGCCGGGGCCGCGGGCGCTGCGCGGTGGGGGCGGCCGCCTTTTGTTCCCCGCCCGCGGGGAGAGGGACTCGCGTCCCGGAGCTGCCGGCGGGTCTCTCGGGGTTCCGAACTCGAGCGGAACGGCCCAAGCGCCGGGCCGAGGCAGCGGGCGGGGCCCCTGGGGCGAGCCCCGCCGGCGGGAGCCGGGAGCCCGGCCCGGCCGCTCCGCTCCCGCTGCTCCGGCCCCGCCGCCGCCAACTTCCCGGGGACGGGCTCCCCACGGCCCCGCGGAGACCCGCGGGCGCACCCCGCCGCGCCGGGCATCCCCCAGCCCCGAGCATCCCCGCCCCGACGGAGCCCAAACTCCGGCTCCCCGGGAACCGGCCCTGGCAGCAGCAGCACGAAGGAATTAACACACGCGGGAATAATCACCTTGTTGTAGTTGTAGTAACCCAAACACTGGGCAAAGTCCAGGTTGGAGGGGTCTCCGGGAAGCGAGCTGCCCGCCGCAGCCGGGTAAAATCTTACATCCATGCCGGTGCTTTGGTCCAAGAAGTGCACTTGGAGAGACCGCCGGGAGGTTTAATAGATCCACCTTCAGGTGCCTTCCCCGGGGCTGGGGCGCGGGCAACGCGCCGAGGGAGGGAGAGAGGGAGGGAGAGAGGGAGGGGAGGTGCGGGGAGCCGAGCCTTCCCCGGGAGCGGGGACGAGCGAGGGCCGGGAGGCGGCGGGGGACAGCGGGGGAAAGAGGCGGCGGAAAAGTGCAGGTAAACAAGGAGGAGAGGAGAAGACGGGAGAGGAGAGGAGAGGTGGGCGGCGGAGCCCAGGTGGGTGCCCGTCCGCCTCGGCGGGAGGAGGGGAGGGGAGGAGGGAGGGCAGGGGAGAGACAGGGAGGGAGGGAGGGAGGGCTGTTGTTTTTTAAAAGCTCAGTGCCAAGCCACGGGCTTTGCCTCCGCATTCAGGAGCAGCTGCTGTACACAAAGGAGCCACGCGCCCGGCGCGGACGGACGGACGGACGGACCGACCGACCGCCGCAGGCTGCCCGCGCCACCGACAAAGGCGGGGGGGGGGGGGGGGGGGGGGAGTGGAGGGTGCCGGGCCGCCGCCGCCGCCCGCCCGCGGGGCCGGGGGAGCGGGGCACGGCGATGTCAGGGCCGCCCCGCGGCTGCCGGGGAGGGGGCCGCTGCCCCGGAGTCGGTGCAACAGGGCTGCGGGGCGAAGTGCCGAAAGAGCCGGCGCCGCGCTGGCACCGCTCCCCGGGAGGAGCGACCGGGGCCCGCGCCCCTCCCCGCCCCGCCGCCGCCCGCTGCCGCCCCCCGCGGCCGCTGCCGGGGCCGCGCCGCTGCTCGGGGCCGGGCTGGGGCCGGGGGCGGCAGCCCGCCCTGCCCACGGCCGGCCGTTCCGCCGGAGGGTGCGAGGTGAGGAACTTTAACCGCTCCCACCATTTCTCTTTTTTGTTTGTTTGTTTTTTTTTTTTTTTTTTTTTTTTTTGTAATGCACTTTATTGATCGGCACCGCTGCCTTGCTGCGTCAGGTTGATGGCAGAGGAAGGAGCGCTTCCTAACATACTGTCTAGAGCAGGACTTTAAAACACAGCAGCCTGCCTCGCAGAAACCCCCTTGAACTCTCAGAGTCACTGGATGCTGAAACAAAGCAATCCACCGATAAGCCAAGCTTGTTTAGTCAGTCACAGGCGCTGCACAGCTGTATCTGCGACCCTGCCTGGAGCTTTCCTGACCCAAAATCCTGCTCCAGAACTTTTGGAGGAAACACTAAAGCAGTACAAAGGCCATTTAACCTCACGACTTGTGCCCTGAAGACAAGGTGCGAGGAAGAAGGTTGAAAATATGCCCCTGTCTCAAGGCTCTGACAGGGAGAGAATTGCCTCTCAGGTCTAAGGCTGGTTCCAGTGCAGTTACAACATAACTGGAAATCCACCCCAGACTGTCTTTAAGTTTACTCCATTTGGTCCCAAAGTAGCAACAACACAAGCATACCCGGTTTAACGGTACGGCAGCAGCAAGACCTTCTCTGGAGCGCTCTGCATCTCTGCTGTGCCCGCTGAGGACAGACCGGCCGGGCCGGGGCCGCGCTCCCTTTGGGCTGAGGCTGGCCACGGGAGCTTGGCACCCCACGCTTCACGCCCAGGCATGATTTTGCACTGTCTAGATAGACTGGGAGTAAACTGTAACACATGCAAAAGCTGCAAGTAGGAAGGGAACATCTTTCCAACTCCATTCCTAGAAATCTTGTTTTCAATATTTGTGGTGGCACAAGTAGCTCCTGCTAACATAGAAGACACCAGATCACCCTTATTCAGGATACTGATCCTGAAGTGTCACAGTTTGAAGCAAAGAAAGATCCCTAAAGTGACATTTTGCACTAAGAGCAGAATTAAACATAGCACAGATATACATTGGTATTTATAGAGAGCACTTACATTTCTTCAGAAAGTTGATTTCTAGGTGAATGTATCAGTAGAGAAGAAAACAGGCATATTCTGTCAGATACCTGATCCAATTTCATAATCATTGTGTCAACCATTTTTAACCAAAGGGAAAAAACTGCAAAATCTACTCTTGCTAGGAGGGAAATGGTTGAGGAACATACAGCGCAGAGTTGTTCACACAGGCACACCCCGTATCGGGGGCAAAAACTATTTTTGCTCCTGAGAGAAACAAATTGTTCATAAATAAAAAGGTATTGAATCTGTTTCAGAATGCAACATTGCATTAGAGCATGCTTCCAAAGCAGTGACGGAAAAGTGGTAGCATATAGGCACAGCAAACTCATCTCTACAGAGATAAATAAAGTAATATCTGCTTTGTTTCATTCAGTGGGTGACAAACCTTTCTGTAAGCCCAAGTGTACGTGTTAGAATAAGCAGATTCTCAGGTATAGGAACAGATCACTGGCACCAAGTTCTGAGGTGCTCTGATCTATAAATACAGGTGTTTCCAGACTGCCTTGCTCTGATTCTCCACACTTTTAATGAAACCTGGAAGCATATTCCCATTGAATTCAGAGGGAAATTGCTTCAGTGAGGAATGAACAGCAAATGATTCCAAGTTTAGGGTTTGGTACCGTTGCCATATTGAGAGGAGCCTCTGAAAGGCTGCAGACCTACACAAGACACGGCTTCTGGGCAGCACGTGGCCTGTGATGCGCCAGGGCTGCTGCCCAGTTCCTGCCCTGGCTGGTGAGGGGCTGGCTGAGCAGGCACCCCCAGGCTGAGCGGGGACCCCCAGCCTGAGCAGGCACCCCTAGGCCGAGCAGGCACCCCCAGCCTGAGCAGGAACTCCCAGCCTAAGCAGGGACCCCAAGCCCGAGCAGGGACCCCCAGCCCGAGCAGGGACCCCCAGCCCGAGCAGGGACCCCCAGCCTAAGCGGGGACCCCCAGCCCGAGTGGGGACCCCCAGCCCAAGCAGGGACCCCCAGCCTGAGCGGGGACCCCCAGCCCGAGCAGGGACCCCCAGCCTGAGCGGGGACCCCCAGCCTGAGCAGCCCAGAACACCTCCCACCCCACGGCCCCGAGCACCAGCCTGTGGCACCGGCGGTGGCCGACAGAATCAGGCAAGGTGCCGTGGCGGGTGGGCAGCTGCTGCCTCTGAAATGCAAGTCTGAAATGTAGAAGATAAGCTAATAATGGTGATGTAAATAATGAAGATTTTTAAGTATTCTGATGGAATATACTGCTTAAAACACAGATTCTTCCGGAAATAAAAGAACAGGTAGAACAGGAAGACCCCAGAATATTCCATCTGGACATCACTGGCACAGGAAGTTAATGTAAAATTGAAATAGAGTAAGTCAGAATTTATATATATATATATATATATTTATATATATATATATATATATATATAAGATAGGCAAAACACTTATCCCCAAAATATTATTTGGTGAAAAGTTTTGAATTACTGTCTATTTATACAATTATGAAACTAATCCACAGAAATTTGGTGACATTTCCAGTCAAAAAAGGTCCAGTTCCTGACTATAACCTAGCTTTCGCAACATTGATGAGTGCCCAAATTAAGTCTTTTGCAGAACTAGTAAGACTGCGGTGAAATTAATGGATGACTTAAAGAAAAACAGAAGAGAAACTGGGATATATATGCTAATTTGTTTTTCTTTTTGAACAAAATATTAGGTTTTACGTGACATTGTGCCAGAGAGAATTTTACACACTAAAAAACTTAGGCAAGTGTGTCTTTTCTTTTATCAACACCTCTTCAATGTAGTTTATTAAATAAGTAAACATGAGGAATCTCTGCTACACTTTAAATCCATATTTATGACATCAAATGTCTTCGTTAGTAACAATGTATTTATCTCAGGAGGACATTTAAGATGGAATATGAGCCGAAGTATTTATATCTTTCTGTACATACCAAAAAGTTCTTCTCACAAGCTATTCTCTTTAAGGCCCTTCAGTAAAACCATGGCTTTGGAAATCAACTTTTTTTTTTTTTTTATATATTTCAGAGCAGTTGGAAGTATGAAGTATTTGCAATTTTGAGTAAGTATTCCCTTCTTCTCTACTGGTTTAATAGAAGTAAGCATCTATCTACAGTAAGTGAAGTACTCCAGTAATTTCCCTGGTTCTGGGTAGCCATGATTTCAAAGAAACTTTTTGAAAAACACTGTTCCATAAAGATTTGAATGTATGTCTACTGATGCCAACAATTATGATTCAGGCAGTAACACACAAACTCTGACTTTGTTCCATCTTCAGCTATACTTTCTTCTGACTCATCATCACAATTCAATTTTAAAAGCCATTAAGAACACTCAAACTGCTTTTCTGATGTAAGAGCAGAAACTGTACTGGAGTGAATCAGTCATATACAAACTTGAGAGTGTGCACGCACGAATTCTCACTGCTGCCCAGAAACCTTTCAGCTTGCACAGGTAAATACTAATGTTCCAGTGTAGCTGATTCCCACACAAGCCTGGGATTCCTTTTCTTTGTACCAGGACATAGCAAGAGAATGTCTTTAATGGTTATGGCTTATTTGCTTTTTCTTTAACTGGTACCCTTACAGCCTCTGCAAACTGCTTTGCAAACCCCATGTCAGTCTCCCTGTCTGTAACACAGATGCAGTACCAGAGGCTCAGTAACGTTTTCTTTCTTTTAACTCTACAGAAGTCAAAGGCACTGGGAGGAGGTTTACTCCAGCAAATAGCGGAGTCACGAAGAAAACTCAGAGATATGAGCAGAGACACCAGCTCCCCAACACCCAAATGTTGCGATGGCCAGCCAAGTCTTCCCCAGATACTGCAACTCGGCTGCCCCCACGTTCCGGGCCGGACAGTCCCCTCACTGGCACAGGCAGCAAACATGAGAGGGGGCAGGAACATGAGGGATAAGGGCGGGGAAAAGGTTGAATGAACCAAGGCTGGACAGAGACACTTCGCTCCAGTTTTTCAATGCAGAATCAACATCACAAAAGACCTGGCTTTCATTTTCACAGTGCAGCGTCCATGTCTATTAGCTCCTGTAAGAACTGGGAAGAACAAGAGAAGATGGAGGAAGACACCATCCCAAATGTCACCTGTTAAAGTACAGCACCTTAGCCCTGTCCCCCCCAGAGAACACGTGGAGGATGAAAGGGCACAAAACAAAAAGCATGGAATACAGGAGCAGAAAAGACAGACAGAGCACCAAGCAGGTTTGGTTTAGAAAATAATCTAAAGCCTCCTAGAATCAATAGGAAGTCCCTTTAATTGATTGCAATGGGCTTTGAATTAGACCTATATTCTACTTATCAAGTACAGCTGCTGAGAATCAATAATATTTTGACTTACCCCTCAAAGAAACAACTACACCAGTAAATTTTGACTAAGAAAAAGTACAATTAACAGCATATTAATTCATTAGAGTTTATCTCACTGAAGTCCCCTTCTCATCAGATTGTAGTCAGCTGGCATTTGTAAGTGATCATGCAGGCATGAATATCCTATATAAATGAGGCAGTAAAGAAAAAAACTTTTGTTCTTAGCATTAATTCAGATCAAATATTCATTGATATCTACATTTCTCAGCGAGTATCTCAAGCAGAGATCAATAAACACTTATTAGTCACTGACCACGTTTCCTGCAGTAAAGGAGGGAATGTCAGCCAGCAGATGGGAGCAGCCAAATAATCGGGGGAGCTGGAGTCTAGTGCTTGTCTGCCAGATGATCATTTACCTTCTCTTTGTCTCAGTTGCTGCATCTAGAAAACTATAGATCAAAGGATTTTTTTTTAAAAAAAAGTATTTCTAATAATTATTCCTTAAAAATAACAAATCATTGTTTCAAAATACAAGCATGGAGTGTTGCAGGAAAAAAAAAATCACAACTGGAAGATCTTGGTTTGTGAACATTCTATTTCTTTTAGACCCAAGTCAGGAAATGGATTACTTTGTGAAACTGGGAAAAACAAAATTATTAAACTTTTCAAACATTTACATGTGCCTGCTTTGATGTTTCTGTGGATTGCTGAAGTCTCTTATCTTACCTGAAGTATTTTACCACTTCAACTCACATGTGACAATTTTAACCATATTCTAGCAGAAAAAAAAAAAAAAATGTATTTGAGTTGTTTACAGAGCAGAGACAACCACTTATACTGTTGAACTATGTTACAGCAAAAAGGTTTCTGCCACTTTAAAGAAAGTATTCCACAATCCTCCAAAATAACCTGTGCGTAATGGACAATATAGGATTACTTTTTGGCAGAGTGAATATCCTGTTGCTATTGACTGCACTGTTACAGTATCCTGACATACTAGTATACAGTTATTGTGAGATAAAGACCACGTTGAAAAACAAACTGATTGCAGTACTGAAAACAGAAAAGGAACTGTCCAGTAATATAAAAATTGACTTCTTTAAGAGAACAATGACTGGAATGGCATCCTTTCTAGATTAGCATTAAAGAATAAAAGCTTTAACTGAAACTAAGAAATTGTTGCAAAGTATTCCTTTCTTCCAGGGATGCCATTTTAAACCAAGACAGGGAAACTTGGTTAGAGATAGCTGTGTGTATATGTATGTGTGTGTGTTTATATATATATATGTATATATCGCATTCATATCATCTGTTGATATAAAAAGCTGTGGAAGCTGTGTGGTATGTTTGTGTTTGTTTTTTTTTTTTTTTTCCCTCCAGCCCTCTCCACATTCATACATTTGTAGAATTTAAAGTAAAAGAATGGTTAAAAAGGGGTGTGGGGGGGGAAAAGCTGCTGACATCTGCTTTTTAAAGGGAATTTACAAGGACAATATCTACAGAAGGAAAAACATGCTCATCATGAGAAATCCAAGTTCTTGTTTAAATTTCTGTATTAGTCTAGAGGAATTTGATAGGCAGAAGCTTTTATTTTACAGTAGAACCAAATCTAATTACTGAAAGAATTATTTTAATGAAATGTATCTGAAAAGTCTTAGTGAGATATGGTGAAGAGTATTTCCAGGTGAGAAAGGTTACAACTAATCCTTGTATCTGCACCAGATTCACTCATACATGTTTTTCAGTTTTAATTTCATCCAATGTTCTATTAGGTAATTATTTGAAACGTACAGCATATAGCTATATGACCCCTGATATATTTCAGGTGCACACGTTTCATTATGAAGCCTCTAAAGAAGGATGTGGTGATGCTCCTGGAGTGCTCAAGAAAATACCTTTCTGTGATTTTGTGGATTTAATGCAATAGCACCGTGTTTCCCCAAGGAGGGGGCACACTTACCCTGGAGAGCTGCGTGGTGCCAGGGGGAGGTGTGAGCAGCCGTGCCCTGGCTGTCCCCGGGAGCCATGGAAGCGGTTGTCTGTACTCTCAGTGACTCCACAGCACATCTTTTGTTGGTGAGTGTGGAAGGGACGGGCTTTTGGTCATCGCTTGGAAGCCACTGAAGGACTTGATGAGACACTGCCAAGATTAAGGTGAAAGGACATGTATAGTTTTACAGTTGTGCCTTAAAAAATAAAAGTCATTATTTGTTGGTCTCATGCCCCTTTCAAATGTCACAGTGACTTGCTGTGATATTAATGTCACCTTCTACCAGCACAAGTTACAACATAAACTAATTAGTGATCAGTGCCAGGTACTTTTGATAGGACTGTAGACATACAGCTTTATTTGGATAGATCAGATCCATACAATAACTGGGAGTAGTCTTCCAAGGGACGCATTAGTTATCCTATAGGCCTCCTAATTAATGATGCAGTCTTCTGAAAGCATATTAATAAATCTGGTATTAAAAGGAGCATAATTCTAGCTGAGAATTAAAAAAACCCCAAACCACTATTTTATAAGTACTTGTAGTACTTAGTAATAAATTACTTCAGTCATAGTAATAGACACATACATAAATTCATCAGATTAAAAATTAACAAACAGACCTCTAGAAGGGTGATCTAGGGACTGCAATATCATCTCCAAAACAAACTGCTACACGTTTATTCAGGAGACTTACGTTCAGTTTAGAGAGTTGAGCTCTCTTTTTTGATGCTTCAATGGACCGGGTTTTCAATACTGCAAAGCTGAAGACAGATTTCATCCAGTTCTCTAGACTATTTCCCCAAGCTCATAAACAGTATGTGCCAAGCTGTTCTTAAGGAATCAGCCCTCATTTCCATGAATGGCTAATATTTAATAAAACATTTGATCACAAAACCAAATCTAAAAAAATCAGTACTAAAACAACACTCTGACTTGCTACTAAATGCAATGTTCTTTGATATAAGCCCATTTCAACTCCATTTATTCCAGGGTTCTACAGCAGTCAAACTAATCAATGCAGAATTTTCCATGTGATTTACACATTGCTTTTTAAAATGAATTGACTGAAACAAAAAATGCTTATTTCTGCTGCCTGGCTTGTTTTCTAAAACATATTCTCTTTCTTTTAAAGTGAGAGAACGACCTCTGCTTCAGGAACAATTTTCTGAGACAGTGTGTTTATCAAATGGCTTCTCTGCTTTCATGAAAACAATTTATTTTCACTGAACTCTTCAAGATAAGCATTGAAGTCAGGAAGAATGTACAATGACATTTATAATTACATTCAAGAAACAAATATTTTGCTGAAGAAAGGTTTTGGATTTTTATCTTTTTTTAGAGATACAAAATATTTTCTTTTCTCCAACATACCATTTAAAGATGTTTTCTCCCTGAAATTACGAAGTGGATTTTCCTGTGCATGGAAAGAAAAGCCTGGGACAGTAATCTTCTCATAGAAAGGCTACAGTATGCATCCTAAACAATGAAAGCTGTAGCATAATCCTTACAACTAAATTGCCTTCTCTGGCCCACTCTTAGGAAATAATCTGCAGACAAATGACAGGGAGAGCAGGGGGATACATGACCTTGCAGAGCCTCCTCCAAACGCCCCTCATATGCCCAATCTTAGAAAATGGACAAAACAATTGTCCCTTGGAATGGCACGTCCATCTCTCCAGCTTTCCTCCCACATTTTCCCCTTGCTCAGAGACAGTTGCTTAAGCCCCAGAGCTCGCTGCAGAGCCTATGGACATAGGGCATGGTGCCTCCCATTCTTTGGGGAAAGAGAAAATCTTGCTGAAAAAGCTCCCTCCACTTTCCTTATGGATTCAACCCTGGACCCACTCTCAGTTATCAACAACAAAATCTCAGTCATGCCAGACAATTTCTGCTTCCTGCTATATTCTAAACCGTTCCTAAAATCAAGGTAGTCAATAATGTATCTCATATTTCAGGACAAAGCAGCCACAGATTTAGCCATATAGTGCATGTATTTTCAAATGCAAATTCAATAACCACCTATGCAAAAGCTGCCCATGAATATATTTAAGAGTTCTGTTTGGGCTGCCTGGAAACATGGGTCTTACTGGATTAAAAAGACATATTACTATCACTCCAATGAATGCCCTTTAATTTGTGGGAATTCGTTTTAGAATTAAAAATTTAAGATCTGGTTTATTCCTTGTCAGTCAAACATCCTAGCTTTTCATTATTCCATTTTTTTCAGTGTATGGAGGTAGTTCTCATCATAAAGATTCTCTGATAAAGTTCTCCTCCGGAGACATACTCTTTTTGTAGGCTCAGCTAGTGAAGAAATATCATTCATTTGTAATACTCATCAAAGAGAAGTGGAAAAAATCAAAAGCAGCTGAAAAGAGATTGTATTTCACTAATATACACCAAGGCTTTATTTAAAATATACAATGTTAAATTTGATCAAATATCAACCCACCATTCAGAGTGAAATAATCTCTTTTAATTTGCATGTATCTGTGTGTGCCAAAGAGAAGCGTGTTTGCTTTCAAGCAGGTGCACATCCTGCTATGACTAAATCTCTAACTCATCAAATTGCTTTACCAGTGTGGGACATGCCCTTTTTTTCTGGAACAGCTTCAAGCATTTTCCCCAGCATTTCAGCCACCTGTTTACTGAGTTCATACTCCAAAGGAGATGCATGCAATTAGAAACAAGGAAATGAAAATAAATGACCTTGTTTGTTATAAATAACAAAGAGACTCAGCAAAATTAATGCAGTGAAGCCTGACCTTCTGACCTGAAAGAAAGAATCACCTCATTCCTTTGTAGCAGGCTCACAATGCTCCAGCACCAGGCATTGTTATGCAGCTTTGCCTCTTTTGATGGATCTTAAAGGACTATATTCTAAATATTAAATGTTTTACAAGTTAGATTAGGAAATTTGCATTAAAAAGCATGTTGAAACAAAGTCAAGACTGCAATAATAAAGATTATCGCTGCTTTATTTAAAGAGCACAGGTAAGCTGTGTGTATGTTAGTTCACTGTAATACAGTTTTTCAACTGAAAAGAAAATGTGGCATTCCAGGTACTAAAGAGCCATGGAATGTCTCCTTCGGTGTTTGGTGAATTGATCAGGGAGAAAGTTTTTAATTACCCAGCTCCAGGAAAAGGAAACATTTTTCTTTTGTAAATTGTTCGTGCTATGATGATCTGACTTTTGAGAAAAAAGTAATGTACTTCCAAAACTACTGCCAAAAATATACATTTTTTTTTTCATTCTCCTTTAATTAGGCAAGTAAAAATGCCTTCTTTTGTATGAAGCCCACTGGATAACATTTCTATGGGTTACA